GGCTGTAAAGTTATCGTGGATAGTGGCAGCTGTATTAATGCGGTTTCGAAGGCTACTATATCCCGTCTAGGGTTGAAGCTAGTTCCTCACCCCCAACCTTATAGTGTCTCTTGGGTTGACACCTCCTCTATAGCTGTTAAGGAACGTTGATTAGTCCCTATCCAGTTCCTGGAGTATAAGGACCATATATGGTGTGACGTTATTTCGATGGACGTTGGGCACATCATCTTAGGACGACCTTGGCTATTTGACCTAGATGTAACCATATATGGTCGATCCAATTCCTGCTCCTTCGTGTTTAATGGAAAGAAGATTCACCTTAACCCACTACCCCCAAAGCCGGCTAGCTCACCAGGAGCGAAGAAAAGTGTGGAACAAAAGGGGTTGCATATCATTAGTCCTACAGAGTTTGAGCGTACAATTGTTGGTGACTCAATTGTGTTCGCCTTAGTAGTCATGGAGGTTTCATCTAACTCCACAAGTGAGGATACTGCGGAAGTCCAATCGATCCTTCAGGAGTTTCGAGATGTCTTTCCGGAGGACCTACCTGATCATCTACCTCCGCTAAGAGATATTCAACATGCCATAGAATTCGTCCCCGGTGCATCCCTTCCAAATTTGCCACATTATAGGATGAATCCTACCGAACACGCTGAGCTCCAAAGGCAAGTAGATGACCTTCTCAACAAAGGATTCATTCGTGAGAGTTTAAGCCCATGTGCTGTCCCCGCCCTATTGACGCCCAAAAAGGATGGATCTTGGAGAATGTGTGTGGATAGTCGCGCTATCAATAGGATCACGGTGAAGTATCGTTTTCCCATTCCCAGGCTTGATGATATGCTGGATATGATGGTTGGCGCAACAATCTTTTCAAAGATCGATCTAAAGAGTGGGTACCATCAAATTAGAATTCGCCCAGGGGACGAGTGGAAGACCGCGTTTAAGACGAAAGATGGCCTTTATGAATGGCTGGTCATGCTTTTTGGGCTAAGTAATGCGCCGAGTACCTTCATGCGGGTAATGACACACTCTTCGGCCGTTCATGGGTAAATTTATTGTTGTCTACTTTGATGATATCCTCATCTATAGTAAAACTAAGGAGCAACACCGTGACCACCTCAAACAAGTTTGCTCTACCCTTCGCGAGATTAACCTGTATGCTAATGTCAAGAAATGTTCCTTTTTCACCGATAGCGTAGTTTTTCTAGGGTTCATTGTCTCGTCGACAGGGGTGTCTGCTGACCCTACTAAGATTCAGGTGATAATTGACTGGCCTGAGCCTAAGGCCATTCATGATGTTAGGAGCTTTCACGGCTTAGCTACGTTTTACCGCCGTTTTATTAAAAGGTTTAGCACTATTATGGCGCCTATCACGGAGTGCATGAAAAAAGGGGAGTTTCATTGGACACGTGGGGCGGCGAAGGCCTTTAAGTTGATCAAGGAGCGAATGACAGAAGCTCCTGTCATGCGTCTTCCCGATTTTTCCAAAGTCTTTGAAGTTGAATGTGACGCTTCTGGGGTAGGTATAGGCGGAGTCTTAAGTCAGGATCGTCACCCTGTCACCTATTTCAGGGAAAAGTTAAATGAGGCCAAACGACGATATTCAACGTATGATAAGGAACTGTATGCGGTGGTCCAGGCTTTGCGCTATTGGCGCCACTACTTGTTGCCTCAAGAATTTGTCCTTTATTCGGACCACGAAGCCCTCCGTTACCTCAACTCTCAGAAGAGATTAAGTTCTAGGCATGGACGTTGGGTTGAATATTTACAGGCCTATTCATTTGTTTTAAAACACAAGAAGGGCGTGGAGAACCAAGCAGCTGACGCGTTAAGTCGTCGTGTCTCCCTTTTGTCGATCATGAGTGTCAAAGTCATTGGTTTTGAAAGGCTTAAGGAGGATTACGAGGCATGCCCAGATTTTAAGGATATCTTTCTCGATTTGCAAGGAAGACAATCAAACAGCACAGATGGCTTTCGACTTGAGAAGGGTTATCTCTTTCGAGCCAATAAATTGTGCATCCCTCGAACTTCAGTGCGAGATTTTATAGTGTGGGAAGTTCACGCGGGAGGGTTAGCCGGTCACTTTGGGCGTGATAAGACCATTGAGGAGGTTGAACGCCAATTCTATTGGCCTAGTTTAAAGAGAGATGTGGCTAAAATTGTTAGTACATGTAACACTTGTCAATTGGCTAAACAGAAGAAGCAGAACACAGGCCTATACACTCCTCTCCCCGTCCCCAATTGTCCTTGGCAAGACGTTAGTATGGATTTTGTGCTAGGCCTGCCATGCACCCCAAAGAAGCATGATTCTATTTTCGTGGTTGTCGATCGTTTCTCGAAAATGGCTCACTTTATCCCCTGTAGCAAAACATCGGATGTGTCCAAGGTTGCCATGTTATTCTTTAATGAGATTGTCAAACTGTATGGGCTTCCCAAGACCATCGTGTCCGATAGGGACGTTCGCTTCACTAGCCATTTTTGGAGGACTTTGTGACATAAGATGGGTACCAAATTAAAATTTTCTACAGCCTACCACCCTCAAACTGACGGTCAGACCGAAGTTGTTAATCTGAGTCTTGGTAACTTATTACGTTGTCTGGTCCGGGAGAACCTTCGGAATTGGGATTTAATCCTTCCTGTCGCTCAAATCGCGTATAATAGCTCCGTAAATCGTTCATTAGGTATGAGTCCATTTGAAGTCGTTCACGGATACAAGCCTAGGAAACCATTAGATCTCATCCCTATGTCCCCACAGGCTAGAGTATCAGTATCAGCCGAAGCATTTGCACAACACCTTCGTGATTTGCACATTGAGATCAATAAACAACTTGAAGCTAGTAATGCAAATTATAAACTACAAGCTGATTTACATAAACGACACATTGAGTTTAATGTTGGGGATTACGTTATGGTTCGCATTAGGTCAGAGTGGCGTCTACATGGACCCGCCTCCAAATTGCAAGCTCGTAGTGCTGGTCCTTTTAAAATTTTAAAGCAAGTTGGTCCAAATGCACATATTGTCGACATTCCATCCCACATTGGTTACCACCATACTTTCAATGTTGAAGACCTTGTAGCTTATAAAGGTCATTTCATTCCCTCGGATGATCCCCTGTTACCTCCTTTTGTGGACCTTGATCCTAATTCTTTGGCCCCCACTAACCCACTACCACCTCTCACAGCACACACAGATAAAATTGATGCTATTTTAGATGAAGAAACTGTGTTCACTAATGATGGAGAGGTTCAGCGCTTCCTTGTTCGTTGGGTTGGTCGACCAGATTCTGATTGTGCATGGATCTCCAGGGAGACACTACAGCATTTGGATTCAGATTTGCTAGAGCTTTATCGGAGTCAGCAGGATCTTCCTTGGCCCAGATCGCCTCCCGTCCACCCGAGGGGAGTTGGTGAGGACACCAGGTTCAGACCGCCACTGACGCATTTCTACAGACGCAGGAAGAAGCTTGCCCAGCCACTCAGCTTATGGTTGGGAGATTGACAGATGCCTATGGTGATATAGCCACTCGACAGGGTCGAGTTTTCTCTCCCACCCCGGGAGAATTGATGAGGACATCCAATTTTAATTAATTTTAGCAATTTTAATTATTTTAGTTGGAATTTAGGTTATTTTAATTTTATGGACTTTTGTATTGGGCTTGGCCCTAGGTTTGCATTATTTTTCAGTATTTAAACCTATCTTACATTGTTATTTGGGATGATGAATTTGATTAATTAAAGATTTGGCTTGCAGCCGTTTTTCCCCTCTTCCCCTCCTCTGTATTCCTCTTCTCTTCCCTCCCCCATCCCTTCTTGTCATTCACAGATTTATTAATCTCCCTACATCATAAATACTTTGAAAAGATACTAAAAACCTAATCTGACGAGTGTCAAATTGAGAATTAAATGATAAAAAATTGGAGTATTAATTTGTTTTATACTAACCATCTTTGGCTATTTTGAACTGACATTTAATAAATTTTCAATTCGAAAGATGCATTACGAGGTTTGTCGTGAACACTTCAAAAAAAAGATACCAAGAACCTATCTCCATAAGCGAATATCAGAACTCGAAAATAAGTCAAAAATGTAATGTCAAATTGAGAATTAAGTATCTGAGACCGATACAATGAAAATCTCTATTTTGGGAAAGGCGTCTGTGTCCACCAAGGTTTTTAATGCATGAATTACCGAAAATGCCCTCCCCAAGATGGATGAATTACTAAAGGGACACTTAGATCATTTAATATTGTCTAATTTTTCTAGGTAACCAATTCAACCGGCAGTCCACATATGCAACTGATATGGAACCCCGTATACAATTAATGTAGCACTATATAACGTTCCAAAAATCACTAAAAATATGAGAAGTAACAGTACCAAGTAAAATAATAGACGTTAAATGATAAGAATAAGATTATTAAATTCATTTCTAGCGATCATATTTGGCTCATGTTTTTGAACCTGCCATTTAACAATTTTTCGATCCAAAAATTAGGCCTCCAAAAAGAAAATTCCTTATTCCACTACTTCCCACATGCCATAATTAAGGAACTCAACAAGAATCGAATATAATTAACTAGGGGTGGCAAAAACCCCGCCCTGCCCTGCCCAGCCCTGCCCCGCCCCGACGGGTTGGCGGAGCGGGGAGTAACTCCCAACCCCACGAAGTGAAAAAATAAACAAGACGACAAACAAGGTAAGCCGTCGCTCAGGGCATCCCACCCGAACCCGCGTCGCTGTCATCACTGTAATTAATAACTCAGGGGCAGAGGGAGGGATGCCATGATCTCAAGCCCCAAAAGAAAGGTTCCATGTCTAAACATTTAAAAAGAATATATTAGCCCCAGTGAATATTACATTCTACACACAATTACTTCATTTTATCCTTGCGGTAAAGCAAATGAATCTTGCATAACACCTAAATCATAAATTCTTAGCATCCTTTTGCACAATGGACATGTGAAGAATGTAACTAACAAGATCAAGCTCACACATTTTCATGGAACTAAATAACCCATAAATGAGATCACTTCAATGTGATATTCCGAAGTTCTACAGAGTTTTTCCCCTTTTGCAGTCTACAGGTATAAAAGGATTTCACATTCTGTTCACAATGCCAATACATGGATATGTAACAAAGCTGTACATATGCCTGCATAATTTGAAAGGACAAAAAAAATGGAAAAAATGGTTATAAGTAAAAGAACAAAGCCAGGATTAGACTGATATTCGACTGAGAACGACATCAACATTTCATTGATGTCACCTATTTGGTGTAGAATTCTATAATGGTCAGCTACTGAAAGAAAGTTAGTTGAAGTACTCATTCATTTCCTCGAACAGAAAGGACCCTAATCAGTAGTCATTGTGAAGAAAGCTCTCGTATGTAGTTCCTCGAAGTGTCTTGTTGACATCATCCCAGTTCTTGATGTGATCCGACAATGATCCTTTGTGTATTTTAACCTGCCGACTAGTTAACTCCATTCGTGGAAGCCTCAAAAACTCTTGAACGTCAACCAATTTCTGCAACAGACTCGAAATATAGATAAGAATTTATGCCCGCGGAATTATTCAAAATACTTCTGGGAAAAATGAAATTACTTATTATCTAGCCCTAGCTTTAGAAGAACAAATGATTCTCATAAGTGATAACGAGTAGTTTGCAAAGGAAATTTTGTTAATCAATTCATTCTTACAATTCTTACAGGTATCTAGAGGAAAAGGTCTTGACGAATCCGATAAGTTACCAAAATGATACCAAGATTCTTCATGAAGTTGAATAGGCAACTTACAGTTCGATTTTTCATGAGATCTTCATAGTATATAATGAAGTGCCGAGTGCTGCTGAAATACTCCAGGGCTTCCAAAACTGTTTTGTCCATTAGCTTTAAATCCTCTACCAAAGATGTTAGATTGATCGCTGGCTTATATGTCGAAAGTGTATTAGCCTACAAGAAGCGGGTAAAGAGATCGTGATCTTGATAATATTAGTCATCATTGGGGAAGAAATGGGAGCAGGTGGAGATACCTCTTCATGTGAGTGCACATGCGACTTGTGCCTTCCATTCAGAAGTTTAGCATATCGATCATAGGAATTTGCCAGATCAGAAACCATCCGACGCAGAAGGTTACGTCTGAAAAGAAATATGATTGACACACCTCTGTCATTAAAATATTCTACAATTTCTTTATGGTGCTCCATCAACCCCTGCATCAGTCATAATTGTTAGTGATTGAGCCCTAACCCAATTACCAGAATAATAGAAAACAAAACCAGAAACATGCAAAGCAAACACGGATTTAAGATGATTCGCCCTTAGAACAATGTCCACTTGCTGCTGTAAATTTTTCACTACAATAAATGAGGAGATTACATGGTTTTTCACACCTCTGTGTTGTCTGCACCAACCCCCCACCCACATCCATAAAAGTGATAAAACACTCTACGAATGATATGGTGACCTAATGCAAGTATATATTTTATGATAGGTTGATCAACAGCTGAGGGGAAGTGTACTAATCCATAGGCTCCACAGAGTCCCAACAATAATACTGCAGGTTGGCATTTCCCGTAAAAGACAAATATCAACTAAAGCAACAAGATGATGAGAAATAATGTATTTTGAGGGCACACAGGACTTCATCCAATCTAGAGGTTGCCAAGAGCATGAAAAGAAGGTATTCCATAATAAAGACTGTTTGAAAATTGAGCTATTATTGCTACTCCAAACCACTTCATGTTGTGGATCTCTCAAAAATGTGATAACATTTAAATTGGACAGGGGGATGTCAGTCCTCTTCCTCACATAGATTACATCAATCATCAAATTATCAAATCTTTCATTGGATTCTTTAATTCGGTTGTGACAGTTAAAACTTGAACACAGCGCCAACAGTTAAACAAATAAATCCGGGAATCCAGATTTTATTATTGTGTCGTAAGAAAAAAAACACAGCGCCAACAGTTAAACAAATAAAACTCTTACATTATTTATCAGGGGTTACATTGTACTCAAAGCAGAAAAAAGGATTAAATTAGCTCTTGTTTGAGGATAGTCGGATAGATTATACTCGGTTTAAATTATATATATATATATATATATATATAAGTGGTGGAAAGTAGGTAATCCTTGTAAGTCCCGGGACGTGTGTAGATAAAAATAGGTTTGGCTGATTATGTTTATAAATTAAATAGGTGCCAAAAAAGGGCTTAAAAATTAGATTTTTTAAAAGAATTGGTCCACAGTTGTGTTGGGTTTGCGAGTAAAACCAACACAATTCCTTTTACTTTCATGGATTATCAGGATTTAATACATGAAACAAAAGCTACTCTTTTATCTTCTATAATAGTTATTGGTCATTGGTGGTTCAACCGCGTACATGCAAATACAATCCACACAAACTTATCCTTTTGAAGTTCATTTTAGTTTTCAATAAGATAGAAACTCTTTTTATCTCAAACTCGTGATGTAGAATAGAATATGGAAGCTCTTAATCTGGAGGATATTGGTGAGATTAGAGTAGATTTAGTAGGCTGTAGCCTCTAGAAATAGAGAAATTAAGTTAAATTTTTAAAAACATAGTAACATGTTTGGTTTGAAAAATTGGATGGCAGTATTAAAGATGAGAAAGAAGCTAAAATATTGTTCAATATATTGCCAAATCCTGTCGAATACTCTATACCGAATGAGTATTGCATACCAAACATACACTCAGTGTAAGCAAGAAAGAAAATCTAAGAGACACATCCAGAGGCCTTAGGCATCACCACAGGCTCTTTCGCATCTCACAAACCCAATATTGAACTTTAGTTATATGATAGACCTCCTCTCTTGTTTACCTATACTAGAAGGATCCAGGAGAAGGAATGACCAGCTGGCTTGGAGTAACAGCATCTAGTAAAGAGGTGGATGACGAGACTTTGTTATGAGCCCAATAAACAGTAGAAGGAGCAGGGTAGGCAGGCAATTTTAGAAAGTGGATGACGAGTTAGTTTGAAAGTATCAGCCTTCCATATGCATTTGTTTTCCATTCTTTTACTATAATTCCTTTCAACTTCAATCAGAATTCTGCGTGATCTTTCATTAGTTTATATTTTCCAACTTGAAACTTAATAGTGTATAATTGTTCTTTGGTTCTCTCCTTCGAAATGAAAACATATGGTCATATCTGCAGCGCTTTCCAGGACTATTTTTGACTTCTTTAGAAATTACGCTCAACAAGTACTCGACTAATCAGTAACAAATTGAATTTACTTTTCAGAATATAACGCGATTGGAAAGAAAGAAATTTAAAATACTGCTGTTTTTCTGTGTTGTTATTTTTTTTATTTTTTTTTTCTAGATATTAACTCCTTTTATGGCTTTGATAAAATGGTGGTTGCCATTGATTTCCATCAACTAATCAAGCATCGATTGAAAGACCCTGCCTAAACTGAAATACAATTCCTAGACTCTTTCCCATCAATCAGATTCTCACTTGATCACTTCTTTCCAATAGGATTTAAAATTGCTGTTTTTGATCCCTTAACTAGATGTCAACCATTAGACAACTTCAAGACATGCCAGAAAATTGTGCTATTGTAACACTTTATTCTACCATTTCCCTCTCCCTCTCCTTTCTGCAAACAAGTGGAGATTAAGCATGCTGGAGTCTGTTACAGATGGTTGTATATATAAGTAAAATATATGACCCCAGGGAAAATTCGTCGTCCAATGCAAATTGGTTAAAAATGGATAATCAGATTCCTTATCGGGACTTCAAAGTTGTTCATTTTATGCAGAGAGGCACATGCTAAGAAGACTTCTCTGTTAAGTAACCCTAAATGGGAATTTCTATACATATCAAGTACAGTAAATGCTACAAACTACGGGTCTAATAGATATATTGCTTTTCTTTGGTCTTTACAAACCGGGAATGCCAAACCAGTCTTTAACATCAGTAAAACGAAAGTAAGTTATGATTATAAGCATAAAGATCTTAAAATAGCAGCCCACCCCCACCTCCCTTCTCTCTTTGCATAGGGCCAATGGAAAACCTATTCCCACCTAAACCAATAAATAAATAAAAAGAACAAATCCCAACCTTCTATTACTATGCAAAAGACATGCTTCGAATTATATGTACTATAAACAAATAATTAGGCATGTAGTAGAGAGATTACATAATGCTCTCCAAGCTTGAATGTTTGTAATAAAATACCTGATTAAGCATCCACTTGAAGCCAATTGCAGCTGAGCACTGATTCTTCGAAGCACTAGTAAACCAATCCAAATTGTAAACTCTATCCAGTGTCATCAAGATTGAAGAAACATTATTTCTCCTCTCCTTGACAGAAAAAATCTCCCCGTTTGAGCTGACATTAATATGGCTATTCAATAACGTTTCAAACCACCCACTTCCAGATCTTTGCATTGACACGATGGCAAAGAGCCGTACAGGATTACATGCACATTCAACCCTGGCATAAAGAAAACATGTTGACGCTCATTAAGACATTAATAAGAATCAACTTATAGTGAAAGTAAAATTTCATCATTACCTGCTAAAAGTTTTGGGATTTGGATAGTGCACGTAAGGAATCTGAGATCTATCGATACTATAATCACAATGTGTCCTCTCGATGATTTCATTGTTTAGAAATTTCGAACTGATGCTAAAATTAGATTGCTTTAGACAGATTGAGCAAATATAAACACCAAATGCCATCGCAAACACCAAGACTGTCATTCTTAACAGAGCTGGGGATTTCTTGGAAGGTTTTATGATTATGGTATCCTGTCATCCAAAGAAAAGCGAACTGTCAATGCACAAGAATCTCAAGGAAGCCCATTACGGCAATTTCTGTAAGACAAAAATTAAGGGGAAAAAAGATACTTAGGATAAGGAAAACTATAGAAAATTAGCATAGAGGGAATACAGGAAGATATAAATTCAATAATCGAACTACCAACATTGAATTGGCTAGATATCCGGGCTCTAACTACCGGACTTTGCTGTTCTTATAGATTTAATTCATTGAAATTCCACAAAATAAAACAGAAGAATTAAAATCTCCCAAATAGTAGATAGGAATAGAGTCATTGCAACACACATCAAAGGCCACGCAGGTTAAAAAATAATCATCTTTCCTTCAGTTGCAAATTGGAAGGCCAAATAATACGCTACAAAGCTTAAAACGTGTTTACTTTACTCAATTCAAATGGGTTCCATTAACAGGAAACTACGAGAAAACTGTGTGACATGAAAACAAGTAGTGCTATATAGTGTTTCGAAACCATGTATCCATAGCATTACTTCTAATATCATATATAGAAAAATAATGCACGGTAAAATCTACTCTGGTTAACAACAAAGAAACCAAGTGTCAGGTTCTAGTGTTCTCCAATTTACTCCAATACAAAGATTTTTCTAGACTAGAATTTCAAAATATTCCGAAGAACAAATTCAAAGGTTGAATCTTTCAAATGAAAACAAATAGAAGCAAAAAATAGAACTGACCTTGGTGAAGAGACAGATTTGTTCAGCCATTAACTTTCTAAAGGTAACAAAAACCAAAATCCAGAAGAGACTTGCCCACAAAGTTCAGATTCTTCTAGTTCTCCATCGCCTACCCAGTATTTACTCGTGTGTGTATGTATGTACAAAGCTTATACAAATTTGAATTATAAAATAAGATTTGTGCAGCAAAATGTTGGGATTGGACGGAGTCAATTTCCTGGTTAAGAACAAAGGCATTAAAGTCCAACATGAACAGCTGTGCCGCTCTTCTCTCTGATACTGCTTTTTTCTCTGTCAGAGCTTCTGTTCATATTTCAGATTATTCACTTGTAATAAAATTTTACTTTGAGCATTTTATAACTGAGATTTTGTTTAATTTTTGGAATTATATATTACAACTGTATGTCGTATATTAATGGCATTATAGAGTCCCACATCCCCCCTGTAACAGGCAACAGGAAAGACACGAGTCTTCAGGCGCCATAGTGCGAAGTTGACGCTGACTTCTGCTGGGGCCACAGCGCGTTACTGGAATCATGGTCTAAATCAAAGATAGGAATTTATCACAATTTTTATTCCATACAATATATTTTAATTACATTTAGGCTATGTTTGACTCACATTATTCCAAAAAAAATTATTTTTAAATAGTAATTTGACATCATTTCAATCACATATTTTTTAATTAAATAATATTACATGTAAATACAAAATTTTTCCTTATTTTTTAATCACACATTTTCAATCAATATACTATTCAAAAATGCATTCTTATAAAAATAATGTAGCTCAAACAATGGCTTAAAGTTCTTAATTTTTGTTCATTGTAATAATTATTTTCTTATTTGGTGTTTGACACCCATTTTTATGGAAAATAAATTTTAGAATAGTAAATTGATGGAGAATGTGTGGATGAAAAATAAGGAGAAGTTTTTTATTTACGTATAATATTATTTTAATGAAGAATGTGTAGTTAAAAAGGGAGAAAAATGTATTTTGATAAAAATGATAATCAAACGGGGCTTAATCTTTTCGGTTGAATTCTTATTTTCAACCATCCATTAATTATTATTCTCATATTTGATAATGATTTATATCAAAAATTTTATTTTCATGCTTTGAAATTAGGAAAAAAATATTTTTTGTACTTTAATGAACTTTTGAACATAAAACTGTTATTAAATAAAAACGTGTAAACTAACAGAAAGTTTGAGAATAAAAATGACAAAAATTCGATGGAAACATAAGAACTATAATGAGTAAATATTAAAAAACCTTAAGTATAATTAAAATAAAATTTAAGAAATAAAATTTGTGGTGTGAATATACTCACCCTTTATATATTTGTTTTCATTTTTTAATGCCCTGGTTTTATACAATTTTTTCAAAATTATTTTTTTGAAATTTATTTTTTTTATTATATATACTTTCGATAAAATAATTGCACAAAATCACTTCTCACAAAATTCTTTCTCAAAAATTAAAAATCAAACAAGAGCTAAAGATATTGGTAGTTTTTAAATCTACTTATTTCAAAATTGAACGTGAACATTATAGTATCTTCAATAGGACTATGGGTTACACTAAAGAGTTATCACATTACTTCAAAATACTTCACGAGAAGGAAGCAGATGAAGAATGTGGAGAGGGTGTGCTAGACATCCACGCTTATTGTTTTTATAATTAATCTCGGGTGGTGTGTTACACACCCTTCATTTAATTTTTAGAATTTATCTATGTTCTTTCTTTACATTTTCTCTCTTGTACATGTAGCTCACAATTAGCGCAATCCACAAACCTCTTCGAGATGCTATTGTTTTCATCCACATTTTTATTCACATTCCAAAAATTCACATTGTCGGGTGTTTAATGATATGTAACAAAATAGAATTGTTACAATAATATAATGTAATTGGATTTTATTATAAGTTACTGAATTATAATGTGAAATAAATAAATGAGTGATAAATGAGTCCTTAATAGCTATGGATTATACAACATGTGTAATTGAATTAAAGTTTAACTTTTAATATTGCAAGATTAGTATATTTATTTATCAGGTTTATTATGGCCCCGTTTGATTTTCATTTTTATAAGAATGAAAATGAAAAATATAGTCGTTATGGAATTCACACAAGAGAGAGAAAGTCAAATATGGTGGTTTAATGTAAGAATGAGAATGAAAAATATAGTCACTACGGACCCACACAAAAGAAAGAAAATCAAATATGGTGACTTGATGTAATGAATTACGATAATATTTTTCATTTTTAGGGACATAGAATGAGAAATAAACGGAGCCTATATAAGGCAGATAATTTCATGTGTGGGAGAGTGACCACTAAATTTACTCTTAACCTCTCATAATAATGGCATACTTAATGCTATTTTAATTAATTTGACATCATTTGCTTTGTTCATGAATAAAAATAAATAAATAAATAAAAGCTCTCTCCAGCTGAGAGTACAGTGCTTTAATTATTGGGATTTGCTTAGAATGCACGACACTCATCATTATTTATACCGCTTTTTCAGATACTTTACGATACTAGACGATAAATATTACATTGCTTTGCAACAATGTGATAATTGATTGAGAATAATTCCAGCAATGGCCATCTCTTTTGTTCCCACCATGTTAATAAAAGAGGAGTTCATAATGAAGTCAGCCCCACACGGTGAAACTTATCCTCGTAACAATTTTTAGTCATTTCAATATGGTAAGTATAGCATAGCATGCATGTCAAGAGCGATTGTGACCGTGAAGGTTAGTCGAAAAGACATGATAGTTATGACACGTTTAAAGTATCGTATTAGATCGGTTAATTGAATAATGATTAATAAATTAATCATATTTGTTGACCTCCAAAAATGGCTCCAACAGGTTCCCTAACCTCGTCCCCTCGAAACGTGCACAAGTAGCACATCATCAAGAAGCAAAGATGGCTGGATGAAAAAAAGGTCCGACGATCGTTTACACTCCGACGATCGAATCAACGACCGGACGGAGATAAATATATAGAGTGCAATAGTATGGAGATGGGGGTTTGGCTAGAGAGTGTAGAACATACCTTAGTTTTTTTATTAAATCCATATATATAGAGAAATATAAGTGCAATGAGCCAAACGGGTTGGTGGGCCGAAGTCCAAGCCCAATAAGAAGGTGATCATATGAACATAATAATAGGCACTTCGACGAGCGCCTCGGCTGAACTCCTTAGGGCCTCGGCTGGCCTCGTCAGAGCCTCGACTTTGGGGCCCAATTATGATGGGTCTCATCAAAGTTCAATAAGATGGCCCAATATGAAGTGGTAATTTATAGGCGTAACAATATTTAATGGAAAATTTTCATAAGTAAGAGATTAAGTATGTCATATTTCAAAATTAAAAAAATAAGTTTCACACTTCATAAATCAGATTTTTATTAAAATTTATTTATTATGAAATTAATAATTAATTATTTTATTAATTAAATATATTTAAGTCACATATCTATACAATTTAGCCACAAATTAACAATTTAATTAATCATTTATTATTTTTTTGCCACAAATGAAAAAATTTATGTCACAAATTATTTTACGATCACAATTCAAAAAATTTGTAAAAATTTGTAAGTCACAATTTGTTCATCGGTCACAAATAAAAAAATTAATTAGTCACGAATTAATTTGTAGTCACAACTTATCAAATTATTGGTCACAATTTACTTTTCGATCACAAATCAAAAAATTTAAGGTCACAATTCAAAAATTTTGTAAGTCATGCTTTGTTTGTCACGGATAAAAAATTTATACATTGCAAGTTATTTATAAGTCACAGATCACAACTATTATAGGTCACGAATTAATTAATTTTTTTAGGTCACACACTATTCTTGGTCACAATTTATCTTTTTAGTGGTCACATATTGTTTATTAATCACGGATTAATCAATTTAATAGTCACAATTAATCAAATAATCTATGACCACCGCCAAACCTCCATTACCTCTACAGCACCACCGTCACCACCACCGTCACAACCACGCCAACACCACTGTCACCGTCACAGCACCACAACCATCACCACTACTATCTCACCATCACGGCAGACCAACCACAGAACTCCACAAATCCACCACAAAACCGTTCCCACAGAACCATTCCCACAAATCCACACAACCACCGTCCCCACCACAGAACCGCACGCCTCCACCACCACAGCTCATCACCACTCACCCAACCACCACATCACCGTCTCATCTACAACAATCCAGTACGGCAGTACCCTATTACCACCACAATCGACACTATACCGCCACCACCCCAACGAAACCATTACATTGTCCCACTCCACAGAATTGAAGCGGTTGCAAACCACCGCTTCACATCCCTGCCCTTCCAAATTCACCACCGTCGCGCAATCAACCCCCGTAGCACCTCCACTGCTTCACATCGCAACGAATCGAGGCGATTGCAAACCACATCTTCACATCGCTGCCAGATCGCTTCAGCTACCGGGCGAGGGACTTGCACCAACCACATCTTCACATCATGATGAGGCTGGATTGGTCCATCGTCGGAGTTTGTAGTCGGCAGAAGCGTTGATGTAGAGAGAGAGAGAGAGAGACATACGACAGCGTCTTGGGTAGAGAGAGAATGAAGTGTTTATGAAGATGATTAGGGTTTGTAATGTATATAATGGAGTATATTAGTAAACTATTTATTTTATAAAATATTGATTAAAATAATATTTATGTTTATTGAAATATGCAACTTTGAATCTGATTTTAGAAAGTTGAACAGTTAAAGTATGATTTTATGTAATTTCCACATATTTAATATGCATTAGATGTTTGATGCCATTATCATCCTGATTAAACTAACTCGGGGTTCTTATCCTACTTCATTCCACTGTAAGTTCTGTGGGGTTAGTCAGTATTATTTGTTCACCATATCAAATATGAATTAACAGAAGATTAGTTAAATTGAATGATAAAAGTTTACTTATAAGTGAATACGAGCTAAAATTTCACTTATAAGTACTTGTAAGTAAAAATCAATTATAAGATAAAAATTGAATTATATGTAAAAAAAAAAAAAAAATAATAATAATAATAATAATAATAATCTTATATGAGTGTATAAAATGTTACTTATAACTAAAAATTCACTTATGAGTAAAAAAATTACTTTATAAGTAAAAAATCACTTATAAGATCAAAAGTAACTTTTATGGGGAAAAAACCTTATAAATAAAAAATACTATTAATAATTTCAAATCACTTATAAAATTAAAAAAAAAATCCCTTTTAAGTAAAATATTCACTTGTATGTAAAAAAAATTCCTTATAAGTAGAAAACTAGTTATACCGAGAAAATT